CACTGTTCTCTGGACCAAGCAGCTGGATTTAGGGTTTCCTCATTTCTCTTCGAACTCAGGTATCCCTTTGTCTCACCTAATATGTGTCCCTTCTTATATGTTGGTATGTTTTATGGAAAATTTTCAGCTAGGCTGATTAAATCTGTTTTATTTCATTGATTTCCTTTTATGCTTGTGAAATATCTGGGAAATCGATATTTTATTAGATCGAATCTCATTAATCAGTTAATTTTCCATCTTATCTGACTCTACGTTGTTTAAATTCTGCATTTTTTATTGTTGAAAGTTCATAGCTTTGAATTTTGTCGATTTTTTATTATATATTTAGTTAAAGAATGGGATAATCCGGTGAGGAGCAGATCTGGGTGGGTGCCCTTGTTTGGTTGCTAAGCAAATGGAGGGATATTAGACTTAACAAAAGTCTGGGTCTTATGCTCTTTATTCTTTTTGTTTCCAGCAAGTGGAAATCTTTGGCTCAAAACCGAACTGTATATATAGTTAGGTTCAGTTGCATGGATTTTATCTTTTGAGATCAGTAATAATTTGAGGTTTGAAATTGTGGGTTTTTCTTTCCCACTGTACTCATTACTAGATAGTCTAAGATCTCGGATCTATTTAATCATGAAAGTCTCTCAGAATTGTTCTTTTTATACACTAGAATGGGCTGGTGTTTGTTTAAGGCATATCTTGCTTCTGTATAGTATGCCTCCACTAATAAGAATTGTCGCTGCAAGTGCAAGATTGATTATAGCTGATTAAAATGAATGGCTGATTATAGATATGACTGAAATCACTATTTTAGGAGTTGGGTGGAAAATGTTGACTAGGGGAACCTCTTTAAGGCTCTTGTATTTGCGTAACATCAGTAATTTTTCTTTACTACTTTGAAGTTTGGACCTAATTGTCTGGCTAATGATCTAAACTAAAACACTTGCAAAATCCATTGTGTGTGTTGTAGCCCCACTAAACCAAATGATGGCCCCCAATGTAATTATTGTAAGCAGTGCTTACATTCATGCCTAAGCAAGAGATGTTTAGTTATACATTGATATTTTTTTAATAGCCAAGCCATGCATGATTACCATGACTTTGTCTCATCTCTGTGTCCTTGTTATGCATGGAAGTGAGGCATTTAACATTCATTGTTCTTGCAGGCATCACTTTTCAGACTGGTCGCTCTTTGTGTTGGTGTCGATGGTGTTGGGGATTTAGTCTGAAAAGAATAGACAACTGGAAGGGATTATTCTTGACCTCAACTGATATTCTTCATTTTCTTTCTGAAACAAATGGAGGATGAAAATGGACTTGAGCTTAGCTTGGGTCTATCTTGTGGTGGATCATCTGCAAAATTCAAGGGTAAAAGTGGTGCTCCCTCGAATACTAAAGCAGAAGAAGGTGATAGAGGCAGCAAACTAGTGGATGATTTTAAGGACTTTCTTCATGGTGGGGCTCAGAAACAAGACTCAAGTAGTAGCTCTCAAAGAAGTGATTCAGTGAAACCTAAGGAAAACTTCTTTAATGACCTTTCCAAGGCCAGTGTTGATGCAGATGCATCAATCAACTTGAACGGGAGAGGGGTCTGGGTTGCCAACAATAACAAGTCTGATGAATTAGAAGAGGAAAAACGGTCAGAGGCTGGAAACAAACGTAAGAGTTTGTTCGACGAGATGAACCATCAAAAGAAGCAGGAGAGAGAAACTCATTACACTGATATGCATGACAAGACGAGAACATCACACATTTCCATAACAGAGGATGGCTCAACTGCTGAAAATGAAGACGTGGCAGATTCTGAAGTGGAGGGTTCATCCTCGGTGCTGATTTCCCAACATGATGAGGGATCTAAGCGATTTGTTGGATCCGGTGACTCTTCCGAAG